CATCCATCCATCCATCCATCCATCCATCCATCCATCCATCCATCCATCCATCATCCATCCATCCATCCATCCATCCATCCATCCAGGCTGTTCCATTGCCAAAGACAATTAGTGCTATTGATGATGATGATCATCGCCTCCTCCTCCTCCTCCTCCTCCTCCTCCTCCTCCTTTTAAATAGAGATAATATCCAGTTGGTGCCCTTCCATTGAAGGAAGGCATTCTTTAGCAGAACAGAGAAGGCAGAGACAGTAGGTAATTTCCCCTCCACTACAAAGCCTTCCCACTCTAAAATCTGCTTGGAAGAAGTGGAAGTTTCTTTGATAATCTCTAGGAGATGGCAGAGGAAAGGGAAAATAATTGAAAAATACCTCCCATTCCATTGACAGACATCTTATATCAACAAGAGAGCACCAATTGGATAATTCATTCATTCATAGCAGTTTTCTCGACTATAGAGAGCTTGAAGAGTGGTGATATGATATCACAGCTTATTACATACTCAGTTTAAACAATCCAATCTTTGTCTGAATGTGTGTGCATCTCTCTCACCATATATACACACATATAGGCAGTGCTCATACAACATTAAAATACTGTATGGAACATATTCAGAATGCATTATAAACTTATAAAAGTGGTAGATGTTCATGCTGTGTATTTTTTATATTACTCACCCCTGTTCTCTGAACTTCCAAAAAAATTGCTCTTTGAAATGATTTCTCCCATATTGCCAGCTCACTTCCCAGTTCCACATTGAAGTAATGACTCTTGCCACGTCCAACCACAACACTGAAACAATACGGCCTCTGATCTTCAAGCTCATAGTCTTGGTGAATACCCAAATATAAATTTGCTTGTAGCCAACAGTCATTATTGAGCCAGAGCTGAAAGACATATTTTTAAAGATATTTCATCTAAAATAGAACTAGAATAATTTGATTCTGTAGAAAATATTTTGAAATAAGTCTGGGACATTTGTGTATCAGTCTTCCTGCATCCGAATCATGCTCATATTCCGCATTATTAAATGGAGAAGCTACAGTGGCTTTCTCTTCCCACAGCTCCTTTTCATTTATGCCATAGTAGAAATTTCCAGTAAGCAGTCATACATGAACTAATCTATCTATTACTTGCTAAGATTCATAGGAAAGCATAATCCATTATCATCTGAAGGGCCTAGATATCTGCTAAAAGAGAAATACAGTACTTCCTGATCCTGCTGGCTTTCATTCATTTGATTTGTCCTTATTACTGAAAAAGAAAGGAGACTATTACTCAGCATCAGAAAGCCATATGTTGGCTAGATTGAAGCAGATCAGAGTAATAAATAAATTCCTGCTGCTGTAACATTGCATGCAGAGGAAGACAAAAGGAGGAAAAGAATGTAATGTAGTCTACATGACTTCCTTCTAGGCTATTCTCATTTCACCAGCAGAGACCAAGTTTAGACACTTATACACATCTGTCCACGTGATATATTTATAATCAATATATGACTCATTTTCATTTTGTGCACACAATATTGATATCATAGTTTGGGAAGGCCTGAATTTAAATCTTTATTGAAAAATGAAACTATATATTGATTTTGACACAACAATATGTTCTTGTTCTAGGAGTTCTACTGTATTTATTTAAAATAGGAAAGGAAAACCGTAGCCCAAGGGCCACATTAAATCTGCACGTCTCTGGGAGCTGCTACTGAAGTCTTCCTCACCAGAACCTTTTCTGGTTAGGTGGAAAGGAGCAGTTGCCTCTCTGTTAGAACATGGGAAAAAATGAGCACCAACAAGTTAAAAAACACTGAATATGTTGCAGAATATGGAGATGTCTAAACTATGCTTTTTATACTGTTGATGACATTTCTCTCTTTAGACTACTATTATTTTTTTTAAAAAAACCTAATAGCAGCATAGAAGGCACTCTTAAAATATTCCCAAAGGAGTGTAAAATAGCTCACAATTACCACCACTAAGACTATAAAACAGTTGATTTCAGTCTAAGCAAAGATACATTCAGCAGAGCGTCACTGTCTAATTGAAATGAATGGAGTACAGATGTGATGGAAGCAATGCTAAGTAAGACAAGCAAATCTGTTTGCCATTTCTAAAATGGGACGAATAGTAACATGTTGCTAATTCAGATGTGATAAACACTGTTTAATTAGAATGAACACCTAATTTATGATACTAAAATGACAAACAGCAAGAATATTAATAACATGAAGGTATTTTTACAACCATATGTGTTTGCACTGACACTGTTGTTTAGAGCAAACAAAATCTTCATGCTGATTGATTTTAATAAAAAGTATCCTTTTTAGAAACCTTCTCCATGAAATCATGTAAATCAAACAAACCAAGTTCTTAATTATGAGCTTATACTATTAGGTTTATGCTTTACAAATAACTTTGTTTAAATATGTTCATAATCAGGTATTTGTAAGCAGTATTGCTGAGAAAATTTACCATTAACGAAAAACTATTAGTGGAATTACACTATCTATCCACTTATCTGAAAAAGCCTAAAATAATGTCAATATGCAAAAACAAATTTAGTTCATCTCAGTATCATATGTATATACACACAGAGAACTGTTGTTCAGTGCTGATATATAATGTACCATTTCTAAATGAATAAATAAATCAAAGATCAAGTGCTATGTATATTTATGGTAATTACCTCTTCATTTCCTACATGGAAAGATTTTCAAGATAATAATTGCAAATATCGTAAATGAAATGATATAATGGGAAAAATTAGATCTCAGAGTTCAGTACAACTGATGGACACCATATCATAATTTTTTAGAGATTGTATGCCTCTCTTTGTGTTAATATTAATCAATCTACATTTCACTAGCTTAGGTTCTGGTAGTGTGTGACTTGGCACTGAGAAAAAGGTTCTTAAATAGGGTACTTGCCAAGTTGGTGGAGAAATCTTTCACTTTATACATCCCAGACTTACATTTTCCAAATTAGACAAAGTTTATGATAACTTGTAGATGTGAAACTTTTTTGAAAATAAACCCTGCTTGGAACTTTTCATTTGTTATGACAGGATCGTATCCAACTTGAAACACTGGTTTTGATTTCTAAATCAAAACAAATGAACAAATCAAATTCCAAATTACTTGAAGCCACATTTCCAGTATCCACACTTCCTTAATTTTAAGGTGACATGCTTTTGGAAATACAGGGCAGAAAGGAGGTTCGTTCCTACTTCCATGTCCCATTTTCACTGAAAATCAGTTGATAACAACTTTCTTTAAAGGAATTTCTGTTTTAAACTTTCTTTAAAGTTCCATTTATGGAACTGCTATCAGATTCCAATTTCATATTTAGAATTATCTCTCTGCCCCTCTTCATTTGTAAGCAAAAGCTTACTTTTGCCCAGTAAACAAAAGTAAGCCTTATTGGAATGAGCTTTTATTAGCAAAAGAAAGAAAAGCAGAATAAATGAATACATATATATTCATGAAGCATACTGTATGTATCCTAACTTAAGGCCAAGGCCTTAAGGATGATGAAAAATAGGCGATTTATGAAAAATTATGAATAGAAGTGAATGAAATATTACAAGATGACTGATCATTTTTCTTGATGACCCTTAATGATAAAGATTGCCAGAACTAATCTTAACAATACTGTGATAATGAGCAGAGAAGCCTAGTAGCAGAGTCCTATGCAGGTTCATTCAGAAATAAGGCTTTTACCATTCACTGTTTTTAAGACACTAGTAATGTAATGATGCAGTGAAGAATCTATTACCCTTGAAATGTTGCTAATAATGAACTACAGTTTCCAACATTTCTCACCGCAGATTATATTGGGGCCACTCAAACTTATACATTCAGCAAAATTTAGATGGCCACAGGCCATAATTTCTCCCCCAAGTTACTCAGTGACTGGAATACACTTGAAAATATATCTTGCAGTGTTTCTATTCTACAGATATATTGTAATCTCTGTATACATATTTCTGAATTACTTTAATACTAAATACTAAATATTAAGGGTCAGGATGCATTCTAATTTGTACATGGAGGTATTTTCAATTTTTATTTTGGGAGAGCATCATGGGGCAGGGGGAAGAACCAATTAGCCATGGAATATTCAAATGAAGGTACTAAAGATATGTCAATTTAATAAGGAATAATAATCAATGGACTTAGTAGGTGGCATCACCTGGCTGATCCTGCCTCAATTAGAAGCTGCTAATTGTTGGGTGCAAGACTAATAGAGATCTCAGCTAGGCTATGAAGTGAAAATGTTTTCCAGAAGAAGGTGATCCAAACCACTTCTGTACTGTTGTCTAGAAAACTTATGAATTTGTCTATGAAGACTCCAGGAGTCAAGCATACTTGAAGGAGACTTTGCCTCTAACAACCAGTAGCATGAGAATTATGGGGAGGGCAGATACCCGTACATTTAGTGCCCCACAATACATGGCTGGTGGAGAAATGGAAGACTATCATATATATTGTTGAACTGCCAATGAGCAACTGCACAACTAGAGAGCCTCTACAACTGCCTACAAAGGGTTGGGGAGCAGTTGGGGATCCTCAGGATCCTCAAGGAATATAATCAAATGTTAGTTTGTGGAGGACGCATCAGCTTCTCATTCAGAACAGAAAACAGCTTAAAAGAGTAAATGGAGTCTTTGAATTTGTAATGGAGAAGCTTTAATCTTTCTTGAAAACTGCATTTACTCCAACTTAATTGATTTGCTCTAAGTTTGCTTCATTATCATTTATACTGAAGTGTTAACAGAACAGAGGCTCGAATTGCATACTGAAGCTTTTATGTTTCAGTTAATGCATTCATGAAGACTGACAATTCAGGGTTCATTTATTAAAATGTCAAAAACACAAAGTACTGAATCCTGAACAATTTATTTCCATTTTTCTTCACTCACCAAAATAATATTCAGTGTTAGAATTTGCTTTTACTGTGTTCTTAAAATTAACATTGCCAAAATAGGAAAGCAGTCAGGAAACATGAAACAATATGGAAAAGAATTTTAAAAGAATGCTATAAAAAGAATATTAACTGGTCTACTAATGGCCTCTGAAGCATTCATATGTAAGCAGTTTAGAAGAGGAATTGCTAATAACTCTGAGGACAAATTTAATCTTTCATTTCTCCCTTTATAAATCTAAAATCTATACTGAGGCCAGCAAGAGGTTTACAAAATATTTGCAAATCAAATATATTTATTACGGTCTTTGACCAGCCTTTGTAAAAATAAACAATACAACAATTTGTTATCAGGGAAAGAAGAAAACAATAAAACAATAAAACGACATAGCTAATTAAAAGTTTTGTGCAATTGTATAACATGATGAAGCTATTTGAAAACCACAATAATTTATTGTTAATATTGACTAAGTTTATTCTGACTAGGTCTTATTCAGTAAAAAAATTAACATAATCTTCTCTATTAATATTTTGTTATTCATAACTTACAGAAGACCTACCTTGTGAATTTTAAATAGAACCTCACAGAGGTTATAGGTTTTTTCAGCTCGTATCCAATCTAAGGTGCTTACCTGTACAGCCAAAAGAAAAAATTATTACACAGAGTTCCATAATTTTTTGCTAATCAAAAATATTCTCCTGCTATTGCACAATTCTTTTATTGCTTTGCAAAATTGTTAATTTTTACATTTTATACACTAGTTAGTTGGAGGCTGTGCACTAATTTATTTCAACATGAGGTTAGAAACTAGTATTTATAATGTTTTTAGTAGTTTTTCTTCTTTTTTATTATTAAATAACAAATAGTGGAAATTTTGGCATTTAGCTCAGAGATTCAAATCCTTTCTCATATTGTTAAAATAATTTAATGCACTTTGTTTCTTTATGGCTATATTCTCATCAATGATATACTGAGCACTCTGTACAATCTCAATAATTCTTTGTCCACTCACTGATATTATATTTCTGTGTAAATTATTATTTTTTCTTTTCTTTTCTCCTTTCACTTGTTTGTTCACTTTTTTCTTTCTTCTTTTAAAAAACAATTAATAAATTAATTGATAAATTAAAAAACAAAACAAAACCCCCCATATGTAATATTTTTTAAAAGCAGAGAACTTGTGAATATATAACTACTTAGGTGTTATTCGGCCTGAGGCAATACTAATTTTATCCCTTCTATTATACAAGAAGAACGCAAATACAGAGGTAAGAGGAAAATTCGGGCTTTATAATATATTATAAAGTTTTTTATTGCACATATCCCATTCTTCTTTTGTGAAACTGTGAGCAGCTTACATAAGACTTCCAAGTGGTCTCTAGGCTGAACTGGCTGTGTCTACTTTAGCACTGGGACAGTATTATGTATCCACAGATTATTTTCTGGAGAAACAGCAACAGAGAAGGCGAGATTCAGCATATGATGAACCGTATAACTAACATAAAATATGAAGGTGCATTTGAGAAGATTCTCCATATACTTATAGTATAGTTACATCTAAACATTTTGATCAATCAAGGCATTATGGTTGCAATTTAAGGATGCTCTTCAGCTACCTCTGTCAAATATGCTTTTCAATGCTAACAAAAAGTTACCTTCTTCCAGTTGTTGGAGAGATTTAGGGAATCCTGAAATCTGGTATCCCCTCAATCTTGTGCCATGGTTTTATACTAGCTTCATTCGACAAATCCTGATTTTTTGCTAAATGCGTGCTTTGTTTCTGATACTGCCTAAAATCCAACATAGTCATATTCATTCAGAACTTAATCCAGAGTTTTCTGCCTCAGACTCTGGGTTTTGTATGGCCACCTGTAAGTGTGGAATTCTCCACCATCCCCCAGCTGCTTTTTCAAATCCCTTCACAATCTATACCAAAGGTTCATGTTTTGAGTTGGATTTGTGACATAGTACAAACTTTTGGATAGATTGTGAATAGATTAAGCCACTGCTGATGCCATAAGATTCAAGCATACTTATGTACTATAGTTATAGATAAGTACATAAAATGGAAAAGTCCCACACTTTGATTTATCAAAGCCAAGGCTAAGCAGTGCCTTTGAGCTAAGGAAAAACTAAATTTCTTCTAAATATCTACTTGTGTAAATACTTGTATTAGATTATTAGTACTGATTCATCTTTTTTGAGTATGAACGTTTGTGTGTGTGCACATTTGTGTATGTGTTCCCAGTCAACAAGAAACTAAGAAAGTTAAGGCTGCAATCTGAAACACTAGGGAATAAGCTCTCCTGAATACAATGGGATTTCCAACTAAACATGTATATTCAGTAAAGCAATAATTCTTCATTTCTGGTTTCAGAACCAGAGTTTGTGTGTTTCTGGCATATAACACTGGTAGAGCTCTTGGAAGATGGATCATCTCCTTATATCATCCCTGTCAAATGTTTTACAATTTATCATGTTTTACCATTTTTAAAAAGAGATGTTCTGGATATCCTTATTTCATGAGGGTTGAACTTTGTATTCTTTGCCCTGTTGATGTATTATTTGCAAACCAGCAAGACTACTCTATAAAACAAACCTTCTCCCAGTGTTTTTCCATTACTATCAAATTTAAAACCTTCTAAAAGTAAACATAATTAAAATGAATTAGAAGTGGGAAATGCCTGGTAATAGCTGTTGAGAACATTCTTGGTTCGCTGTTTTATTTAACATGATAGAGTCTAGAGGTCAATAGTCTGAAAGACTTTGCTGGCAACAAGCAAAAGCATAAAACTTAATTTTCAATCCCTAATTAGCCTCTCGAGCAATCATGGTTGCAAAATAATTGCCAAAGACTACACCTACTTAATTCTTGAAAAGTTGTTTAATCCTACAGAGTCCTGTTCAGTCCCATTTATAAGGCATGTCATAATTTTAACTTCTTCCAAAGGCAGAACAGATCCTGATATCACCAAACTTGTAAGCTTTTATAATTAATATACAAGTGAGGCTCCATAGTTAATATACATTTTAGTAATTTGATTGATGGGTGAAGAATTCAAAACATAGGCAAAGCTAAATTAATGCTGTAGAATACAGCACTATCAGAAATTAGTAATAATATTTTTTCAAAGCTGATATAAATATATAAATTGACTTTAAAGGCAGCTAATTAGAATTGTTAAACCTGCAAGTACAGGAATTAATTGAATTTCCTCACTGGTTCTGAAAAAGAGTCAGAGTAGGAAACATTAGATTGCTGTTTATCTTCAGCCAACTTTATTGCTTAAACACCTTTTGCTAATTTAGCTTGAGAAAATTAAAGATTTACAACTTTACATATCTACATTTTTAATTACATTTGCATCACAGTGAGAACATGACTCAAGTGTAAAGAAAATTATGTGAAAATTGCATTCCTAAAGCATTTCGAATGCAATTCTATAACCACTTGCAAAGAAGCACTCTTGAATTTATTTATTTCTTTTATTCAATTTGTATAGCTGCCCATCTCAAAGCAGTGACTCTGGGCAGCAAACAATCATAATTCCAAGGGATTCATTCCCAGATAAGCATACACAGGACTGCAACCTTACCATTAACATTCTATTGTATCTCTGTGGGACTTAGCTTTGAATAAAAATATGAGAGTTTAGAGTCAAATTGTAAATGTTGCTAATCATGAGGTTTAAAAAGGATGCTTATTTTGGTCACTTTTATTGTGTTTAATTCTGAACTGTGAGTGCACTGAGCAAAGAGAGGTAATTGCAGATAACCTGAATTAGTTGTAAATGATTGTTAGATTAGTTTTTCATTCAGAGTGATCTGATGTGCCTTGGGGCAACAATGTAATCATCAGACATCCTGTGGTGATTCATCTCCTAGTTCATATATTGGAATAATTAAACAAACTAACAATAAGAAGAGTAGGTGGAAACATCAGTTACAGCAATAGCTGAAGCTGTATGGTAACTTTTGTGGAGATTAGAGGGGAGCTTGCTTCCTATTTCTGCTCTTGGATCCTTGCTCCCAAGTTGGATTTGGGTCTGCAGTAGCCAGGGCTGCCGCCAACAGCTACCTACTCTTCAGTGACTCCTTTCTAGCTAGGGTTCTCTTTTTGTTCTTTTTCCTTTATAGGTAGTCCTTGCTTAATGACGGTTCATTTAACAATGATCTGGAGTTATGACGGCCTTGGGAAAAGTCATTAAGCGAGTCACATGGCTGTTAAGTGAATCACCATGTCATTAAGTGAGTCATTAAGTGGTTGTTAAGTGAATCATGTGGTCATCAAGCAAATTCCAGAAAAAAAAGTCCATTGAGGAAGCTGGATTTGCTTAATGATCACGTGATTCACTTAACAACCATGTGACTTGCTTAATGAGCATGGTGATTCACTTAACAACCATCATAAAAAAGTTGTAAATCAGCTCTAATTCGCTTAATGAACAAATCGCTCAGCAACCTAAATTTCGGTCCCTGTTGTGGTTGGATAGCAAGGACTACCTGTATAGGTAATAATACAGATGTATATCTTAAAACAGAACATTATTAAATGTTATAAAACTAATAAATTACAAATGTTAAAATGTAGATCTAAAATATTTTAACCTATAAGATTTAATTCTTTAAAATGGTTAACAAAGTAGAATAAAAACTTGCTCCTAGTCAAATCCTTAGAATGTATGGGCATTTCATAATTTGTCATGTTGGGTAGATTCACTTTTCCCCTTAACCTGGCTGCCTTAACTGCAAATAAAGCCATCTGTTTTGTCACAAATGAGTTGATACCTTGTAAGAGGAAATTCAATTTACTTTTAACTTTCTAATTCCTCATATCATAAGGAACAAAAATAAATAATGATCCCAATATTTAGCATACAACTGGCATTCTAATGTGTAATGTGTGAGCACTTCCAGGGAAAATGGTGGATTGAATATGGCTCCATTTCTTTATGGAGCCGACGCACACAGCAATTAGAAGAGCTGGCAGTCAGTTCAGCTCTTTGGGATCATCTCCAGATAAAGGAGAATGACAGGATCACCCACAGGCACTCCTTACAGAGTCTAGCAATCTCTAGCGGATGGAGTGCTCAGGGAGTCAAGGGAAAAACACTGAGCCCAAGCCATGTTGTGGAGCCTTGAAAAGGACACTAAATTTGCTTTTACTTCCTTTTTAAATTAACATCATAAACTGCCTATTCATGAATTATTTGGCAATTAAAAACCTCCTGAAAGACAAGTTGCTGTACACAGGGAAAATTTCCTACTATCCTGGGAGAAAGAAGATTAAAGTAAGTTTAAAAATCAAAAAGAAATATTTTAACGTTTGGAAACAGTGAAAGGGAATTAAGAATGCTGATTGGGAACAGTTAAGAGGCTAGATGGATTTGAAACAGCTTTTTAAAGGATTGTTTTAAATGTTTAAGAAAATTCAGAAAATGAATTTGGATTTAATTGCAAGAAAATCTGTCCTGGGAAAGTTTGCTTCTGAAACTAAACACCAGATAAGACTGAGCTTTGAAGGTCAGAGAGAATGGAGAGCAATTAAAGGAATATATGTCTTTTAACACAATGGAGGAGTATCCTTCTTTCAAAGAAGAATTTTTAGCTGTTTGGAATCAGTGTGTCCAG